CGTTTTTTTGTAAGAAGCTATGAAAGGGTAGTGGTGGTGGAAAGGGTGAGGCATAATGCCAGATGCTGGGCAGGATGGAACCATCACCATGTCAAGCTACCAGGTATTGTATGTGGCTCTTCTGAAAACGAACGACTTCCTGACCCAGCCACCACATGTGCTAACTGCAGCACACCTTGTGCGCAACGTAGCTGTAGGGCCACCTTCAGGAAGCCAGTGCATGGGACAGACAACACTGCAGAGCTCTTTGGAGGCATCCAGGCTTGCAACAGAGCAGCAGCACAAGGCAGGATTTTGTTTTCTCTATCCAGGCTCTTTCTTATAGGTGTGATTTCAGCATTTTCTTCAAGATTTCAAAAGCATGTACGGTAAACTCAAGACTGTGAGACAAGACTCCTAGGTTTGCTTTGTGAAAAGGTGCAACTCCTGTGATGTCAGCCAGGTCACTGAATTTGTGTTTCACCTCCCCACTGTGTAATATGGGTTTAACAGCATCTCCTTACAGCCTATAAGGATGGCATGGGAGGGGGTAAACTAATGTTTGTAAAGTGCTTTCAGCTCCTGAGATGGAGCAAACAGGAACTCATCTGGGTGCTGAAGCCCACAGGACTCATGGGGCTCTTGGAGATCTCAGTGGACCTCAGTTCAGGCACTTGGTTGCTACTGTTACTGGGATGTCTCAGGAACATGCTCAGGGCATCCCAGATGGGTTCTGGAGGATGCTCTGCAAATGGATGGAGTCAAATTGCTTGATCATTCAAAAATTATATCAATCATCTCTTGGCCTACACAGATCCTCATCTTTCACACCAGCTCACACCTCAACAATCCCTGTGCTGCTCTAGTGATTTGGGAAGCAACAGGGCTAGAATGGGATTCCTGTGTTTTTTTAGGGAAAGGATCACAGATGCATGTTGTTGAGGTCACATCCATGGGGCAAGCCCTGCCCATTTTTCTGTCTAATAGCTCCTATTAAGAAAAAAATCAGTTGGTGGTAATTCTGAGCGGTGAAGATAATACTCGCAATACAAGGCAAAACAGAGACAGAGACATTCTGAAGAAAAAGTGAAGAGATTTGAAGTCAAGATACTCATTTTAAAAGGTTGGACCAAGTGGCTTACGCTTGTCCGGTAATTCCTTCTGCCCTTATCTTCTGTAGTGTGTAATAGTGTGTGACTAATATCAATCCTCCTACTTCTTCAGCCTAGTCATTTCAGCTGATATTTTAAAGTGTACCACACTGTGCGATGACATGCCTCCACCCTCTGTAAGCTTTCCTGTTCTAGAGAGAGAGAGTGAGAATGACTCATGCACCTCTCCTACCACTAAAGCCTTTTAGGCAAATGTGAAGGAAAGTCTTAAAGGTGTTCTCTTTATTTGGGAATGCCTGGGCAGGGTTTCTTATTTTTAAATCAGTTCTTGTTCAGTGCCTAATTACATGCAATTTTCTTACCTCTATGATGCTGAAATACTGCAGTCATTTATGAACTTTTCTGACCCTTCCATGGCTCTCTTTCATTCAGTGCAATTCAGAAACCTTGGAAGCTAGCCATTGGTATTAGTATAAGCAGGGCTGAAAAGGGAGAAAGACAGAACGCAGAATTAGGTTGCTGAGTGCATCGTCTGGCTTGGACTGTATTTGACGGCTGTCAGAGAGAGATGAGTGAAGGGAGGGGGGTGGAGAAAGGGAAGGTGCAGATCTTTAAGACATTTTCTATCTGATTGCAATACTGACCTAATTCAGAATGCTATGGAAATTAAAATACCACAGATTCCACCACTTTCAGATCTAACCCTGGACACAATTTTTCATATTTAAAATGTGAAGACCTCTATCCTAAGCTCTGGGCATCCTCACAATTTAAGTATACAGTGCATGCCAACAACAATGGCAGAAGAGCAGCCAAGCCAGCTGCACACAGACTGTCAATAAACCATCACAAAACATCCAAGACACCTAAGCTTTGTATTAAGCCCTAAGGGGAACAGATTTGGGTTAGTTTGGATCAGTGTGGGGAGCAAATTCAGGGGCCCCTTGTAGATGAATGGCCGCCAGCAGGTCCCTCTTGCAGCTTCAACTTGGGTACTGCTCATCACAAGAGTAGCAGAATCCCCTAGGGAGGGTGTTGAAGCAGATCCCACTATATATAGTTTAAAGGTCAAGGCTGAAGCCTTAAATTGAATTTGGAACCTCATAGGCCCAGTCACAGCCCTGGGGTCTTGTGCCCACAGGGGGAAACAGCTAAGCAGACAAATGAAAAATGAATGTTTCCTCCAATACTCCCTTTGCTCTTCATTTCTGGACTTTTGATTTGTTTCTTTACTACACGAGACTTCAAACCTCAGCTTGGTCCTCCTTTTTAAAGAAAGAATGGAGTAGGAAATGCTAAGATTAGTGAGACAGAAAAATGTGCTTTAAATATAGCCCTTAAAAACTGCCTTTTAAGAGCTGGTGGCTACTGTGACAGTGCCTAGAGTTTGGAAAAGCTCAGGAGGTGGGCACACTGTGGACTGCTGCTCATTAACCCAGGGTCCTCCAGGCATAGGGAGAGTTGGATGAAAGTTGATAGGGAAGTCACCAAGAAAAAAAGTCAGCCATTGAATATAATATTTTTCTCCTGGGCTCTTTGGTGGATCAGATCTGTCTCAGATATGCATGGAAGAGAAGTACAGCTTGCAGGCTGGTGCTTCATGCCTTCCTTAGGCAACTAACTGCACTGAGTTGGCCCTGTCTAGGCGCTTGTGGATTTGGAGTTTGTGGATCTGTAGTAAAAGGTGTGCTCTAACTTTCTAGGTGTGCAGCCAATGCCAGTCAGTTTTGTTTTACAAGGGAGGGGGACGCATCTGCAGGTGTCACTGAGGGGTTTAGGTAGGAGAATCATATTGGGTTTTCTGCAAAGCTTGGGTAGATAGACGGGAAGATGTGGTTTGACAACAGGGGGATGGTTGTCCAATTGTTGTGGCTTTTGCTTTTCACACAAGAAGAGTGAGTGTTGTATATAGCAGGCTTCATCCAAGCACAGCAGCCAGTTTACCTGCTTGACACAATCTTCCTTTTACATATTATCCACAAACAAGAAAAGCTGCACAGTCCCTTGGGGCTGGGGGTACACTTCAAGGTCAAGCAAAAGCCCCAAACCACTGATTCCTAGAGGCACCACATTTTCCACTTCACTTGGTGTGCCTGCTTGACACTCCCCAAGAAAAGTGCACTTCACAGGCACTCATGTTCTTATTGGTGTTTGCTTCTCCACCTGGACACCACTCAGATTGGATTTTTCAGAGGTGAAAGATCTTCTTATCCATGGGTTGCCCTTAGATCTTAATATTGAATTTAACCAAGTTTAAACAAGCTTAAAGTTTCCTCTTAGCCCATCTTGCAGCCAACCCTTCCTCTGCTGAGATGCTGTTTTTTTCAACACACTTTGAACAATCACTTTCTCTGGACAGCCACTTTCTTTCCTGTGTCTTCACACTCACTGTCAAGACTCTAAATCGTTGTTAGATAAACCATGATGTAGAAGTACCAGTTAAGCTGCTGCAGCTTCGAGTAAAGTTCTTGTGCAAAACAAGGACTTCCTGGAAGGTTTTTCTTGATGTTTTAGTCTTCTGGAAAAAAAAAAAAAATGGAGAAGCAGAACCCTGCAGAAGAGCAGGCAGAATCAAGTGGTTAGAAAAGAAAAGAGGAACTTGGGACTCATGGGTTCTATACTCAGCTGTCAGAGGGTTACTGTATGATTTCTAGTAATTCATGTTGGGCTGGTTCAGCACTATTTGGAGAATTATTCCATTGATTGACTGAAGCAGGAACTGATTCTTAGGTACAATCTGACTTGCCTTCTCTGTGTGAGGCTTGAATAATTTTTCTATTTGAATAAAGCAGCCATAATTTGGCCCTTAGCTTTTCCATGTCTGAGTTTATTCCTCTGCACAATGGGGATAATACTTACCTGCCTCCTTGGGATGCTGTGAGCCTCAAATGGGTAACATGTATAATGCACCAAAAGACTGCCGGATAAGTACTATTTTAGTCGCCGTTTGAGATGCATGCAGAAGCAAATTCAGATCAACTCCAGCAGAAGACAGCTTCAGTTCTGCTGCCTAGAGTGCAGGGTCTGGGACAGACACTGCATAAACCGGTTTGACCCAAAGCAGATAAGCCTGATACTCCATTCAACCAGGTTGATCTCAAACTGGTTTCAGCCATTTTCAAACTGGTTCACGTGCACTGAATGTCTGTTCCGTGACAGGTTTAAACCAGTTTATGATCACTTACACTGGTTTATGTGTAATGTCTGTCCCTAGCCCAGGGGTCTTATGTTGCAAGTTGAGTGAAGTATGCAGAGTTAATCTAGACTCCTAAATTGGGGGCACACCTACCCTCTTCAGACACATAGACAAACTGGTAGTTTAAAATAAAACATGGCTCCCTCCTTTTCTGTGACTAAGTAGAACAATTGAATAAAGCTTGGCCTCCATCTAATGATCGGCCTGGTTCAACTGTTTAGTTCCCATCTTATTTTGTTCCAACAGACCCCAAAGTGCTCCAGGCTACAAGGAGTGCCAAGGAAATGCACCCACTGCTGGGATGGAGGGTAGGAACCAGCTAGACCACTGGTCCTTTACACAAAGAGGAGCTGAAAAAAGAGATACTTTGGCAGCGGACATCTGAGCAGTCGCAGTCACAGCCACTCATGGAAAACACCATAGGATGTAATGTTCCTGTGATAAAATACACTGGATTCTGTTCACATATCACACAGAACGATTAAGGGCAGTGCTGTCCCTGCCAAGATGTAAACTACTGTCGCTCTCCTTAAGGAGGTACAATGGACAAAGGAAGCTTGAAAATTCCAGTAGGCCTCCAAGAATTTCCAGGATGGCAACTGGTGCTAGACTCCTGGGGCTGCAACGGTTGCAAATAATTTGCCCATGGACTGAGCCTGTAGCCTGTTTCTGTCAGCGTGCATCCAAAATAAAGAAAATGGATTGAGCTCTGACTCTTGGTCACCTGATTCTTCATCTTGGTTCTACAGATTGACAGTGAGGCACAAATTTTCCATTTTTGACACCTGCCAGTTTGAGAAACCAGCTGTAGATTAGAGAACTAGCTCAGGCCCTCAGAGTTGCAAATGTGGCTGGGAACTGGGCCGGGGAGGGGGGTGGAAACGGATGAATATTTCCACTAACCTACTTGACTTGATAATGTTCTCACTTGGCAATTTCATATCTTTTTCCTGGGGTTGGGGGAGTTATTCCCTGTGCTGTCACCGTTTCCTTTTTGGTGCCTAAAACAGACTTGAAGTACCTTTCCCCCTCCAGTCAAAGCTAGTGAAAAAGCAAGAAAAATCCTTTCCAGTTCACTTCATCTTTCCAGGCTCTTACTTGAGTGCTTTACTCTCTCTGCAGCCAGCACTAAGCTCTTAAATTTGTGGCTTGCTGCAGTTTGCAGTTCCTGAACCTCTCAGCAGCACTGGGAGTCCTTAGAAACAGCTGTCTCTCCCTGTGGGGTTCAGAGCTGACATGTGTCTGTGACTCACTCTGGGCTTGCCAAATCATTAGCCCCTGCATATCTCTGTCTTGTTTGTTAAGAGATCTCCAGCCTGATAGCAACTTTCAAAGAATTAAAAAAAAAGGAAGAGAAAAAGCAACCGGTCTCTCTCTACCCGCAACTGTCCCTCCTTCTGCAGACACTGAACTATTTGTCTGAATCGGGACATGGGGTTTTATCACTTAGAAATTGCAGGTTCGATCGCAGAGTCTAGTCTGATGGCTGGTTGGATAATTTGTCTCTGGGCTCAGGAAGAAATGATGGAAGTCAATTTGACAGCTGTGAGGCTCCCCGAGGATTCCAGACCTGGAGTGCACAGAGCAGTGACAGACATGGCAGTGCACTGAATACCAATGAAGATCTGCCTGGGAATAACGCTGAGGCAATACAAATCACATGTGTCCAGCTGGAGAGTGACTGTCATCATTAATTATTATTGTTATTAAGTATCATTTTTTATTATTAAGGCATAAAAAGGAGCTAGCAGCTCCTCTTGTTCTCACAGAAGGTGGAAGGGTCCAAAGTATTGACCCACTTGATGTCACCAGTTAACTCCAGATCACCTCAAAGTAAATGGGGCCCCAGAAAATGAAGGAAAAGATTCCACACCTTTCCAGCCAGCTGGAATTCTGTTGGAGCCACATCAAAGCCGAGGTGAGGGATGAATTTAGCTTACTCTGGGCCCAGTTCTCCACTGCCTTACACCGTGCATCATAATTCACAACTGTGTAAAGCGAAGGTGAACATACTGCTGGTCTGTATTAACTGCTTGGCACATCAGTAAGTCACCCAAGTGCAAGGCAGGGTAGATCAGGACTCCAGGTAGGACTTCAAGGCCAAATGATGCTTATCCAGAGTAACAACATTCGAGTCCACTGGAGTTTATATAAGTGGAACTTAGAGCACAATTTGCCCCTAGATATCTATCACATCATAGTTGATTAGCTTTAAATAATTAAATAGACATTTTGACATTGGGCCCCTGACTGAGCAGGAGTTGAGAGCTGGATGTCCTCCTCTGC